CCAGCGCCTGGCGCTGCGCTGGGTCCAGGACAACATCCGGCACTTCGGCGGCGACCCCGGCATGGTCACCCTGTACGGCTCGTCGGCGGGGGCGGTGTCGGCCCACGCGCACGTCCTGTCCGCCAACTCCAAAGGTAGGGGGGAGGGGACGAAAAACAAACAAACGCGCAATAACTTCGCGTCGCGTGCCATGAAAGCGAGAGGATCAAGGACGTCGGTCCACAGATATCAGATCGGGAGAAGCTCGTCACCGACGGCTTGTTTGGGGATCGTCCAGAAAATACATCCGTTTTGCTTAGATTTTTTTGCGGGTGCTCGGCGCCTGCGAGACTCGGGGTAGGCCGCCCCGCCCTACACGCATGCAGTGTGGGCAAGATGTTGCCTACCTGTCAGGCGCTATGAGAGCTATCCTTGGGCGGAGCTAAACCTGACCGTATCGTAACGACGAACGACGGAACGTTCTTTTTGGGGGGAACCCGGTGCGGTCGCTATGTGGGTGGTCGAGTTCACCCGATTTCGAAGGTTTCGCAGCCACTGTCACGCGCCGTGCGGCGCAGGCCTGTTCCAGGCCGCCATCCTCTCCAGCGGCTCGACGCAGGACTTTGGGGCCACGCAGGCCGACGCGGAGCTCACCAGCAGGCAGCTGGCGCACGCCATGGGCGCCGGCGCCGACACGTGCGGCGACACAAAGAGGCGCATCCAGTTCCTGCGCGACGCGCCCTTCAAGGACATCGTGACGGGCATGAAGCACCTCATGGCCTCCAGCAAGGTGCCAACATTCAGAATAAGTTTTCACTGGCGAGTCTAAGAGTTGCAACAGGTGTTGAGCGCTTCTTTGCCCCCAGACCAACCGGAACATCGTCGAGCGGCCCATCTGGGCGCCCGTGGTGGAGCCCGCGGACGGCGGCGAGCCCCCCGTGCTGGACCGACACCCCAACGACATCCTGGTGGCCGGCGACTTCAACACCGAGGTGCCTCTGGTCATCGGCGTCAACGACAAGGAGGGCTCGTTCATTGTCGGTAGGGAATCCCGGTCGCGCAGCACGTTTAATCCGTTAGCTCGCCTTCGTTATCGCTCAAAGCGTGTATAGTTTCAAGGATTGTTGTAAAAATGATGATCTATGTCTAAAACCAACTATACAGGGAGACTGGCTGAGGACGACACGACGAAGCTTGAAGCCAATCCGTCACTGCTGCTCTTGCCGAACCTGTACGATCAGGTGGATGCCAACACTAGGGAGGAGCTGTCGACCAAGATCAAGAACTTGTACCTCAAGGACCAGGACATCGGGAAGGAGGCCCTGGACAGTCTTGCCGACGTAAGTGTGGATCGTTTCACGCGGTTGCGCACGAGGTGTCTGATGAGCCGAGCCGCATCCACATTCGTAGTAATACTGTAAGCGAGCGTGCGAGCGCGCATTTGCGTATCGTCTTGTGGACCCAAAGAGAGGCAACGCGCCCGCGTGCAAACGGTGCATCCCAACTACGAACATGGGCGGGGAGAATCAGAAACCTGACATGATGCAGACCATTGTACTTCGTGTGATTTTATGAAGCAACCCGATATGCAAATTAATTGACTTCCCAAAATTAGTCAGATTGCTAGATAAGCTTTAGCCAGTTGCTTTATCTTGGTTGGCCCATGTGTCCATTTCAGATTTACGGCGACCAGAGCATAGTCCACGGCACCCATGTCGCAACACACTGGCACTTGAAGCACGCCAAAGCACCCATCTTCCTCTACTACTTCACCCTCGATGCCTTTGGTGTCGCGTCGTTTTTGTTTGGGACAAAGTCGCTGAAAGGTAGGCCTCTTGAAAATATTATGGAACATTTTTGTTTAAAAGTCATTAATAATTTTATTTGTTTTTCATTTTGTTATCTATGTATCAAGGTGCTGGTCATGGGGATGACGTAGGGTATGTGTTTAAAAACCATCTCGTGAGCGACATGGGAACATCAGATAAAGAGCGTTTCGATCTAGGAGTGTCCAGGATGAACAACCTCATCGCCAACTTCGTCTCCCAAAGGCGAGTTTGAATACTCTTTTTAGCAGATTACACCTAATATGAAAATTATAACTGTTGGGTGGACGGTGGACGCGTGCTTATCTCTCACTATCAATATTCTTACAGAAGTCCGTCTCCCGTCAAAACTGATGTGCTGCCTACCGAGTGGATGCCAGCTACTCTGGAACAGCCGCGCTATCTTGAAATCGGAGACAACTTAACCATGAGAGAAGGGATTATTTTACCGGAGCGAATGCAGTTTTGGGACGAAACCATCCAAGCGAACATTCACGACCCTGTTTATGAGCTCAAGTAACTTTTTCTTAACGTATGGTAACTGGTAACTTGGTAACATGTAGATAAATTGTACTGTTGTGATATAAAACAACGTCGTGTAAATGTATTTATAAATTAACCTACTGCAGTTTCGTTATTTTGTTTGCCCTGCGTCTTGTTTGGTGTGCTAGTGTTTAAAGGTGCGACACACAGTGGGTGCGTGGATGGGTACTTGGCACAGTTACGCCCGACTCTCCCCGCCGAGCGACTTTTCTGGGAGCGCGTCGGCGCCTTGGGCCGCTTGGGTCCGCCGGCAGCGAATCAGCCGGCTGGGGGGTGCAGGATAGCCTCGGAGCCGACAGTAGTATTGGATACTGTATATTACTCCGACGTTAGCAACAATTACCATAAAGGCGACAATAACGAATCGGTACCAGACGGCGTGCGTGGAGCCCGCCCAGTCCACCAGAGCGCCTGCGCTGCTGCTGCTGTCGCCGGCGCCGTTGTTGTCGTCCGGGACGGCGGGGTGCTTGTCCAGGAAGCTCTGGCAGTCGAAGTCGTACTTGCACTCCTGCTCGTCCTCGTCGAACTTCCAGTCGGCGTCGAGGAGAGACTCGCACCGCCGCACGCTCTGGGCGAGGCAGTCGCAGTAGTAGCCCTGGACGCAGTCGGCCGTCCCGCTCGGGCCGCGCATGAGCTGCAGCTCGTGGCCGCCGCGCTGGCAGACGCACCGGCCGCTGAGGCTCGGCGTCGTGCCCTCGCTGGAGGTGGTCGGGGCCGAGGCCGTGGGCTGCGTCCTGGGCTTGGGGTCGAAGAAGGCCCGGCAGAAGTCCGAGTCGTAGACGCAGCTCTGGTCCTCCTCGTTGAACACGATCCCGGCGAACAGCGACGACACGGCGCAGCTCCCCAGCTGGCGACTGCTGCAGTCGCAGTACGTGCCCGCCTCGCAGCTCTGCAGCTGGCCGGCCCCTCGCAGCAGCTGCTGGGCGGGGCCGCTGGGGTCGCAGGTGCACTGCGGGGCGAGCGTGACCGTGGACGCCTCGGCGGTGGCCGCGGTGGCCGTGACGCTGGACGCGTCGCTGGGCGCGTCGCTGGGCGCGTCGCTGGGCGCGTCGCTGGGCGCGTCGCTGGGCGCGTCGCTGGGCGCGTCGCTGGGGGCCGCGGTAGGCGTGCTGGGCGCGAGGGCCTCCTCGCAGTCCAGGAGCAGCTCGCAGCCCTGGCTCGTCTCGTCGAACCGCTCCATCAACCCCTCGCAGTGCATCACGGCCCTGGTCGCGCAGTCGCAGTACTCGCCCGCCTCACACTTGTCCTGCTCGCCCTGGCCGCGGATGAGCTGCCGCGGCGGCCCGTCCCTCACGCTGCACGCGCACGACGTCTCCACCGGGGTCGTCGTCGCGGACTCCTCGGTCGTGGCCGGCTTCGGCTTGAGCTGGGCCGCACAGTCGACACCAAAGTTGCACATCTGAGAACTCTCGTCGAGCTGCCTCTGGCCGAACATGGGGAAGGGGACGCCGTCGTCGCACTGGAGCACCGTCTTGGTGGCGCAGTCGCAGTGGAAGCCCGCCTCGCAGTCGGCCAGCTCGTTCTGACCCCGCAGGAGGCGGAGGCCGGCGGCCTGGCCGTCACACGCACAGGCGTCGCCCATCGCGGCCCCCAGCCGCGGGGAGCTCCGACCATGCGCCGACAAGGCGTGCAGGCAGAGCACTGCGACGAGAACTGCAACACCACAAACACGAAATCAAAGACTGGTCGGGCTGAATACCATCGCATAAAACACGGGAGACAAGATATTTTGTTTTTCGTTTCACCGATCGAATAACTACCTTGCTTCAAATCTAAAAGAATGTTTTTGAGACTCACCAGCACGGGTGCTCTGACCACCCATGTCGATGCTGTGACGGCGACGTGTCGTGTCGTGGGGAGCGGTCCGGCGGTCCGCACGTACTACACGGTGGCCGCAGAGGGAAAGAACGACCGGCACGCGCTCCACTGCATCCCCGGGGAGGCTCTTGAGGTCCTTCTGTAACTTGTTGCAAAAAGTGATAGCGAGGTCCTTATCGGGGCGTCCTCTAGTACTGCGGGCAATCGGCCAAGGAGTACGTGCCGCGGCTCACGCTTCATACGAGCGCACGGGGGCGCGGGGGGTTCCCTGACAAGGAAGAAGCATTCCGAGCGAGTGAATGGAACGGTTCCGCCCGCCACGAAGAAGTGTCTGTGTGGGGTTGGTGAGACGGTTCACGCGCGTACGTTGGTTAACCGATACTGACCCACCACAGGTCAAAGGCTCCTTTAAAGCCAGATTCTAGGTCTTATCAGTGTACCCGCCACCACAGCAAGGTGCCAGGCACCAGGGAACTCCCACGGCCCGCTTTCGCCGTGAGTCGAACCCCGGCCCAGACCCAGAGCCGAGTCATATGCCCTACGACGCAGTTTAACCAGGAGGGTAACCACTTCGCCGTCGGAACTCCACGAGTGGGGCGTGGCGAAATGACGGGTTTAAAGTCCATTAACAATTTGGTGGCCTGAGTAGAAATTCAGGCCGACAGAGATTCGAACTGACGACCTTCCGCACCGTAGGCGGGCGCGCTACCGACTTAGCCCTAGAGGCGACATGCGGGGAGCGAGGGAGCGATCGATTCTTGGCTATCGCTGACTGCAGAAAGAATTTTAAGTGTGAAGAA